ATGACCCTGCAACGGGGAAGCTTGTTGGAACTTGCCCTGAATTCGATGGGAAGGACACCGAGAAGGCCATCGCAGCAGCCGCCGAGGCATTCAAGACCTTCCGAATGAAGACTGGTCGTGAACGATCTAAGCTACTACGCAGATGGTACGACCTAGTCATGGAGAATTCGGAGGACTTGGCAAAATTAATCACTCTGGAGAACGGCAAACCTTTCGCAGACGCCAAGGGCGAGGTGAATTATGCTGCACAGTTTTTCGAATGGTTTAGCGAAGAGGCTCCGCGAATATATGGCGAAACCATACCAGCCAGCATCCCGGGCAACAGAGTAATGACCCTCAAGCAGCCTGTGGGTGTCTGTGGGCTCATTACGCCCTGGAATTTCCCTGCGGCTATGATCACGCGTAAGATCGGCCCTGCCCTCGCTGCGGGCTGTACGACAGTCTGCAAGGCCCCAGCCGAGACGCCATTCACATCACTAGCGCTAGCAGAACTAGCGCATCGGGCTGGTATACCAAAGGGCGTTGTAAATGTTGTGACGGTACACAAAAACACCCCTGAGGTCGGTGAGACGTTGATGACACATCCCACGATCCACAAAGTCTCCTTTACGGGCTCTACGGGAGTTGGGAAACTTCTGATGAAGCAAGCTTCATCAACGCTCAAGGTCTTGTCTATGGAGCTAGGCGGAAACGCACCATTCATCGTATTCGACGATGCTGATGTCGATGCCGCTGTTGCTGGAGCCATCGCGTCCAAGTTCCGTTCATCGGGACAGACATGCGTTTGCGCCAACCGTATCTACGTCCAGAAAGGCATATACGACGAATTCGCCCAGAAATTCGCTGAGAAAGTTAGAGGCTTCAAAGTAGGCTATGGCTTCGACGAGGGCATTACCCATGGGCCCCTCATCCACGATCGCGCCGTTGCCAAGGCCGATGCCCACGTAAGGGATGCTGAAAAGAAAGGCGGAAAAATCGTCGTAGGAGGCCAGAAGATGCCAGACCTAGGGTCTAATTTCTACCAACCTACAGTCATCACCGGCATGACGAAGGACATGGCTATCGCATGTGAGGAGACATTTGGCCCTGTTGCTGGCCTTTTCCCCTTTGAAACCGAGCAAGAAGTGATAGATCTAGCAAACGCCGCCGATGTTGGATTAGCGGGTTATTTCTTCTCGAGGGATCTAGAGAGGATACACCGGGTGGCTGAAACACTTGAGGTCGGCATGGTCGGCGTTAACACGGGTCTGATTTCGGATGCGGCCTCGCCATTTGGAGGCGTCAAGCAGTCAGGATTTGGTAGAGAAGGATCAAGATATGGTATTGAGGAATACCAGCATATTAAGACCATCACATATGGCGGTATGGGCAAGCCGCTGCAGAGCTAGCAGCATACTGATGGCGTTATGGAACCTGTAAAAATGAAATTATGTATTTACTTGTACAGTGACTCAAAATTGAAAATTTCACGAAGACAATTCTCGTTCTATCTAGAGACGGCGCGAAGTGCTGCTAGGCGACCTAAATACCTGGGCTAGATAAGTAGGTGGGAGCTACGTGCAGCAGTAGAGATATCCCATTATACAGGATACCCGCTTTAGTGCATAGCCCCAGTTTTCGCTTGTACCACCATCACTGCTCCTCAAAATTTCCGAGAATGGAGCTCGAGACAGCATCCCACCTCCCAAACCACATCAATTCAACCCCATGATACGCCAATCCTTAAACTCGGCCACCGGCCGTTCGAGGGCTGAACTCACCCGAGTCACAGACGGCATCGCGGCCTCGCTACGGGCATTCTCCACCGCCCAGCGACTCGCCGCGCCACCACCACAAGACGGCAGCAGCAATGGCGACAGCCCACGACCGTCTGGGAGACAACGCGCCGCCGCCGCCTACTCCGATCTCGCCGATCTAAACAATAGCAATGGCAACCGACCCCGGCCGTCAGGCCAATCCGGTTTCGCCTGGAAGAAAATAGACCTGCGGCCCGAATCTGCTACCTCCACAACTTCCACAACTTCCACAACTCCTGGTGCTCCCTCCCCTCGCATCTTCAACAGAATAGACCTCCGGTCCGAATCTGCTACCATTTCGGTCCCTAGGGCACCCACCACGGGCGCTCCCAACATCATCCGCGGTGGTTTCCGAGGTGGCTTCGGAGGTGGCTTCAGAGGTAGAGGTAGAGGTGGTTTTAATCGGGGCGGAGCGATGGCTGGAGCCGGAAGGCCAGGCGGCACGATGGGACAAGGGCGTCGTCGGGGCGGCGGAGAGCGATCAGGCGGGGGCGGACGGGGAGGACGTAAACGAGACCGGGACCAGGGAGATGACCAGGCAGACGCCGGGGAAGACGACTGGTCCCCCGAAGTGAAAGCGATGTGGGAGACCAAGGAGGTCGGCACACTGCACCAGTTCAACCCCTCGCTCTCTCGGAGCGATCTCGTAGGCTACGGCCCCGGCGCGCCCATAGACGGATCGAGCGCCGCGAAGGACGACGCGGTTCTGCAGCAGGCGCGCATTCTCGGGGGCGCACAGGGGTTCCGTTCTGGCTATACGCTGCGACCGTGGGAGTTGCGGGACCGGTATAAGAGTAAGAACGGCACCGGCGTATTCTTCCCCAACGAAGAGGTGAAGAAATGGTCTCTGGAGAACACGCCGAGCATGAAGCTCTTCCGTGTTTTTGGGCGGACCAAGAAGGCTGTTCTCCAGGCTGCTCTTCTCGGCACGCACAAGAGCCCGCGACATGCCGACCTTGAGGATACGCTCGGCACTGTACGCAGCTATGCCGCGAGGGGCGCTACGTGGAATGCGGATGCGTCACGGCGCATTGAGGAGAAGGTTAGGAGTCTGCTGCCTGGTGGGAGTACGGGGCCCGCAGGTGCTACGGGCGGGCCAAGAGCGAGAGCTTAGTAATGGGCGAAACTCTACTGCAAGACAACGAATACTGAGGATATAGACCAGACAAGGAGGATGGATGTGTTCATGAGACATCTCGCTCTTAGCTCCGGCACTGGCTGTACCATACCAAATTTTGTAAAAGAGCAACCATATATAGTGTATATGCATAACGACCCATTGTGCCCGGTTTACGTTATTGTTTCTCATATGAAAACATGCTTCTAGAACACACTGGCATGCTATGTTATCCGGTAGGCCTCTAGGTAACCATATCTTTTTTTTTTTCCTTTTTAAGAAGGGCACCATGCCTCGCAAATAGATATAGCTAGCTCTATTTCGACTCAGCAGCCTTAATAGCGCTCTTCTCAAACTCGTCAATCTCAACTACAGCCGTCTTGATGACCTTATCCAGCTCCTTATCCGCGGTCCTCTTCAAGTCGGGGCCGATCAAACCGTCCTTCTTCCAGGTGGCGTGGAGCTTGTCGCGCTTCTGGCGGATGGCGCGCACGCGCTCGCGCCACTCATGGGCGAGGGCCTTGACGCGGCGGACGAGGTCCTCGGGCTTCTCGGGCTCTACTTTCAGCACGAGCTCGAGCTCGTTGTCGGGGTCGCGCTGGGGCTGCTGGTTGAAGTCCGGACTGCCCTGCACCGCGCTCATGATGGCCTTCACGTACCCGTCGTCGTGGACCAGCAGGGAGACGGTGCGCCCGCCGCGGGGCACGACTTGGGCGAGCTCGTGCAAGGGGTAGGACACCACGCCGCGCTTGTCCACGGGCACTTTCAGGGCGCCGATCACCTCGGGGTCGAAACGCCCGCCTGTGTGTAGTTTCTTGAGGGAGGCTTTGGAGTGCTCGGCTTGCTTGGACAGGCGCGCCTCGACGTCGGCGAAGTTGAGGGGTTCTTCGGGGGATGGCTGGGGGATCTTGTGGCCGTCGTCTGGGCTACCGCTGTTGCTGTTGCTGCTGCTGCTCTCGGCGGCCTTGCCGTTGGACTTCTTACCGCCCTTCTTGTCTTCCTTTTTCTTGTAGACATTGGGAGACGCATGGAAGGCTCTCGCGCTGTGGGGCAAGTCCAGCCATAGGGGCGACTTGGGAGCGGTAGATACGAGGGACAATCGTTGGTAGTAGTGCTGGCATGTGGGCTGAGTGCTATATGGTGCTGCTGCACCCGCAATGCTTGATCGGGCTACTTCATAGCTCCTATCCAGGGAGTCAGCGATGATATAGTACAATTGGAGGGTCCAATTAAACAAAAGAGCGAAAACGTACGATATCTTGGTCTGAGACCATGTGAGGCCTTGTCGAAGGCAAGTACGAGCTACTACGTTGCTCATTTTTTTCGGCGTGGCTATCTATAGCTCGCTGGAGATGCCCGCTTCAAGCTTCTTCCCAAGCTGTTACACTACAGCGCTTCAGCCACACAGCTATGGGTAGCCACATGTACAGACAGTGCTTTATAATGCATACGTACTGTACAACTCCAACACAACTTCAACTGTCAAGTATGGACATTTAAAGAATTGTTTTGATTGCTCTAATAAACTCAAAGTGCTTGAACTAGTGCATTCTATATGATTGTTAACTATATAAAGGATAAGATAGCCTTAACATAATCTTACGGATCGTGTTACTACTGTCATTTCCTACACATAGCATGTGATGAAACAAGTATACACCTTCCTCACAACGAGATACCTAGCTTATTAAAGGTGATTAAATATTAAGGCAAAAGAAAATAGGACTGGAAACTACCAGCCTAGAGCATTTTTGCTTTTGCTGAATAGAATACTTAAAATGGGAACGGATTTGTAAGTGTTTCCATCAAGATTAAGAGTGTCACGATTGTACGATGGCTATTTCCGTCTTATCTATGCTGGTAGGTAGTTTTCAGCTATGAGAGGAGTGCTAAGTACCATAAGTATTCACTTTTAAAAAATTTAATCCTAGAGCCATTTGCTCCTTAATTTTATAAACTTTAGAGAAGAATAGTATTCTTTAATGACGTTTAATTTACAAGTCATAGACCTTCAATAAAGTGATACACATTACAGATATAAAAGGCCTCTAAAGTTAATCCTAACATCTCAAGGCGTGGAAGTCGGTGTTTTCGTGGCCTAGTGGTTAGGGCGTCTGTCTTACATCTTCGAAGTGATCACAGAAGATCCCCGGTTCGATCCCGGGCGAGAACAGCTTTTTGTTCATATCGATTCGATATAATAGTTGCAGCATGCTTGTCTTGCTTTTTATACCACCGTAAGCCCTGTTTATTTTATTTTATTATTTTATTTTTTATTTGTACTACCATTTCGACTTAAACACTTCTGGAGGCATTTTAAAGGGCTCAACGTAAGTGCCATACATGGTGAGCCAGATACATGTATCCCATGGTAATAAACACTGTCTCTATCAGTATGACGGATCTCTACTCCCTCTTTCTTTCTTTCATCAGGAAACACCCCAAATCTCAATGCCAACCCCAGCAACCAAGACTTTCTTCTGCTCATTTCTCATGTCAAGAGGCATTTTATCTTCATCGCTGTACCATTCCCCAATAACCTCTAAGTCCCCTGCATCTGCGACGCCGCTATACCGATTATCCAGCAAGTGAACTTTAGGATGCATAGACTGCCAGTCTACGAGGCGCCACGTCTTAACGCGCTGGTCGTTGCTCGTAGTTACAACTACTGCATCCCGCCCTTCGTTCTCGAGCCGCACTATCCCTAGCCCCGTTACTGCCGCGGCGTGTGCGGAGCGGACGATGAATTTATTGCGGATCTCGTAATATGGCAAGGCTTGTTTCTGGCTGCTGGGACTAGGCGGGAAGGCGTGGTTTGGACTTGAGGATGAAACGGGGACTGAAATCTCATCTGGTATGAGATTGGGATTCGTTGCAGCACTAGAATCTGTCGGCACGTGCTGTGTGGATGGTGGCTTGGTGGATAGAGTCAGAGAGGGGGAATATAGATGTAGAACTCCGATGGCATCATCGTCTCCGCCTGTCACAACCAAGTACGAGGTCCCGGTCGTTGTAGTGATGCTACGCATGTCTAGCGATTTAATGCTGCTTTGGTGGAGTTTGGTAACGAGTATGCCGGTTAGATCCTCAGTTCCATCACCGGGGAATCGTAGGTTTGGAAACACAGCCAGATGGCCGTCAGTGGCGGCTGTCAGAACCTGCGGGTAATATCGATCTGTGAAGTTCAAATGTCTAAGCTGCGTAAGACAAGCGCCGGTATATGTTTGCCTGCCTAACAGTTGGAATCCATGCTGCGCGGAGTAAAGGTAACTCTGCACCGTGGAATTTGAGAGTGACATTGAGATACAGAATTGTAGTTCCGCCCGAGATTTCTCGGATATGGCCTCGGTATTCTGGACTCCATGACCGGCACTCGCATACTCACCTAAACAGTGGACGTCGAAATCCATGATTCGTAAGTCGCCATCTTCGGAGCGATCGGGGAATACGGCCTCGCATACGACACCAAGAGGACAGATATTGCTTTTCAGCGGCGTAATACGCCAGGCGAAGAACTCTTCATTGCCGCCGCTGCTAAAGAGGTATTGGTCCTTGAACCACTTGAGTTTCTGAATGCCCGTATTATGCTTCTCTAAGGCAAGCACACAGCGGAGTTTCTGTTCTCCTCGGGGTTGGCTCCACTCCCGAAGCTGCCATATACGTATCACAGTGTCCTCGGCGCCCGTAGCCACTAACTTCCCTGAGGCCGACAGGGCCTTGATTTCGCGGCCGTGGCCACCTGTCTTTAGTGGGAGATGCGGCGCACGTACCTGTGAGAATATCCTCATCTGTGCTGCTTTGGTACAGACAAACCTTACACCTTCGGGATTTCCTACTATTTGTATCTGGTCGTACGCGCGATGTCCGCCGCCGCAGTCAAACATCGCGACCTCGCGCTGTTGCGTCACATTCCATACTATGAAGTATTTGCTTCGGAATCCGTAGAGTACAGCGTCTTGCGTTCCATCTTGGTTGTCGAATAGCCATGACCCTTCAATCATAGGCCCGAGGGGAGGCCTTGTCTCGTGAAGCAAGTGGAGTTGAAAGTTGCTTGTCGTATTAGGGATCTCGTATATCCTGTATTTGCCATCACGAGAAGTCGTGAGGAAATAGGTGGGGGAGTGCATAGAGTGTCGTGGAAATTGGAGGACCGAGGTAATTTTATCACCAACCGTAACGTCTACGGTTAAGAGGATAGCGTAATCTCCATTGGTCGTCCGCTTAAAAATCGCAATACTACCATGCCTAGAACCCAGTACAAGATATCCATGGCACCACGCGGCAGTTGTTACGAAGAATTCGTCAGGTACTATTATCTCCGTTCGTTGTATTAAGATGCGGTTTTGGTCGAGACGGAGAATTTCCGCCCTTGGACTTCCGTACACAGTGATAAGAAGTTCAATATACCCACCAGACTCCCCGTTGGCGTCTGACAGCGCATGAAGAGAAGAAGCTAAAGTATCAGAAAGGCAGATGATTTCTGTGATCTTCCGCTCTGCTTTATAGATTGAACAAAGCGAATTGCTGCTTGCTTCATGGTAATAAAACAACTCGCCACTAGGGGCACCAATAAAAGCTATAGAAGCCCTTTTGGAACTCCTAAGGACAGTATATGACTGTATGGTCGTTCGAATTTCGTCGGAAATCGTAATCTCTTTCCACTCTGTTTTGGTGTCAAAGGTGCCGAGGAAAAGGCGACCCGATCTTGTTGTGATGATTAGCTTGTTGTCTGTGATGAATGTGAAAGCTTGGAACATCTCTTTCCCGTTTCCATGCTTAAAAGAGGAGATTGAAGGAGTAGCGCCAGCGTTTTGGTGTTGGCATTTCTCTATAAGAGTTAACGGAGAAACTTCAAGTTGTTGGGTAGACTGCTGGCGAAGGTCGGTGCTCTCTGTAATATCATCTGGATCTCTTGCTGTATGATTGGAGCCCATCTCCATGAGTGCTATCTTGCCGTCTCCGCCCCCAGTAACTATTAAGAGGCCATTCTCATTAGAAATCATGGCATGTGACCAAATTTGTTTCCCATTATGATTTAAAAAGGTCTCGTAGTGCATTAGTTTAAGGGGAGGTTGACTAGAGCTGCTTGATACCCCTAGACCCGTCTCTAGGCTAGCGTCCAGCTTGAGATGCCACCTTTGCATTGTGGCATCTTCTCCGAACGAATAAACTTGGATTGCATCTCCTTTGGAAAGGGGTCCAGGGGTCCTAATTTCGACTTGCCATATCCTGGATACATGACCCATAGCCATCGCGACACACCTCGAGGGGCTATTGACTACCCCTATCGACCCAACGATAGAATCACCAAACCCAGTTTGCCTCGCGTTGGAGATTTGGTTCTCAAAACTGTTTTTTTTATTCGTGGATTCATGTCTTCGTTCTGTGATATCCCAAATTCGGATCGTTCTATCGTCACTACAACTCGCGAGGAGTCTAATCGTTTCTCCGGAACTCGTAATTATTTCGGGTGAGATATGAACACCAAAAATCGAGCCTTCATGACCCGAAAACACGAAGAGGACCTCGCAACTGACTGCATCTCTTCTTTCTCGTGTATTATCTTCAATAGAGCCGTTCTCGTAGTTATCTTTGTCGACACTAGACGCAAGGTGACACTTCCAAACCACAATCTCGCCGAATACCGTTCCGGCAGCCACAAGCACGCAGTCTCTCTCGACCCAGAAGAAATTCCCCGAGTATAATATTGGCCGCGAAGGCGACTGTACTTGTCCTAAGGTGAGGGTCGTCTGATCTGAGCTAACACGTCCCTGAATGACCTCGTTATGCGCCGTCAGGAGAACGATGCGGTTTTCATCAAAGGGCGAGATACGGCCGTCGAAGATCCAATCGGGAGCTATAGCCTCTGGTGCGGATAATGCCATATCTACCAATATAGGTTCCCCATAGAAGCTTCCATGCGCCTCACTGTCGCCATTCTCGAGGCTGGGACAAATCAACTCTTCGATGATGCGACTAGACAATACTTTGACGATAGGGCCGCCCCAAACGAGAATCTGCCGGGGACTGCCGATACCGTTCTCGGCAGCAGGGGGCACGGAAATGCCGTGAATAGGCTGACCCCGGAAAACAGGTAACGTCCCACAGAGACATGAGGCTGCGGTATCATAGACCTTTATATCTGTATCTTCGGCCGCGAGCAAGTATCGCTTGTCACCCAGCGTCAAGAACGCCAGCGCCGTGATAGGGTTTAGCACATACTCACGGCCGAGTCGGCCGGGAGTTGCCGCCTATAAAATATCAGCATTAAGAATCGCGCGATATAAATATCTCCTCATTTCACCTGCGGTGAACCACCGTGCTGTCGGGTCATTTGATTTCGTAAATTCCTCCGGAGGTTTGGTGGGACTGGAGCTGTGGGGACTTATGACTACTTTTTTTTTTTTTACGACTGACGAAAATAAACTTACCTCGTGAGACATCGTTTACGTGGCTTCATAACGTGGCCATATGCCAGCGTAATGAGTTAGATTGTGTAGAGGCACGGTTTGTTTGTGGAAAGAGTTGTCGACAGGATAGATAATAATTATTTACAAGTGCCTACTGGTTTTTGGTAGCTATACAAAACCCAAGCACGTGATTAGCGCGATTGAAGCACTGGAAACCAAACTACGTGATTCACATAGATAGAAGCGATGATGCCAAGTTTAAAATGGGTTTAGAAACTATAATTTCTTTATTTCATTACGGCATTCATCTGTCGAGATGCATTGGGTATATTCCCTTGAGACGTATATCGACTCTATACAACCCCTAGACGCGTTAGGTTGCCCAAACCACTCGTAGCCCAACCATGCGCCAGCAAATGCAAACTGTGAATAACAAAGTAAAATCATTCAACCCTCAAATCTATTTAATATGACCTCAATCTTGTCATTATGTTCACTCTATCCTCCACTTTAAACACGAGAGTGCGAATAAGGCTCGTAAGCGAGATCCGATCGGGCACCGCCACGTTGGGGAGCAGCGTAGTTGTACCCACTGTAACCCGAGTTGCGGTTGTCGCCGAGGGGAGCGTACGTGTTGTTGGGAATGAGCTTTTCGCTGTCGGCGTGGCGCGATCGCCCGCCGCCGTAGGGACGGTGCTCGGGCTTGCAGCAGCAGATGGAGAAGAGCCAGAAGAGACCAGCGCCGAGAGCGAAGGCAACGCTC